CATAGGGTACGTCGACTATATCTCCCCTAGGTCCTGCGCTCGAAGCTGCAGACTCAATATCAGTTTTCAACTGAGTAGGGTTAGAAGGTTTTATGCGAGGCCAATTGTGTTTCGTATTGGCCTGGAACCTACCCCTAAGCCTTTGCAGCTGTGTAGGCTTCACCGGTGGGCAAAGTGGGGCCCTAACACTGTGTTGCGGGGAGAGAATATTAACTCTTTGGAACGCACGACCCTTTTCAACGCTCCGGAGTGGTTTGCCCAACTGCTCAGGTACCTCAACAATCTCTACGGGCTTTTTCTTACCCTCTAAGTGTCCCCTAAATTTCTGAAAGGCTTGAAAACCACGAGAGGAAATATTTTTAGTTAAAATATCTTTATACAATAACTTAAACGAATTCCTACTCTCAGGGGTGTTCGGCTGAAGTTTCCCGATCGGTGCAGAGTCTTTTTTCGCAGAGCCTCCATTTATCTTGGCGATTACCCCTGTTGCCGGCCGGTCATCACGTTGTAAATTCGCACCATCATGATCTCTTTTTTTCGCCCGCTCCGAATTCGCCACGTCGTAGCCTTTTCGCCTTTTCCGGATCTTTTCGTGATCACCAGGTCGATCCGCGGCTACTGGCGACTCCCGGTTTTTGAATTCGGGGGGTGTCGCGCTGTTGTAGCCCTACAGCTCCGCTCGTGCCTTCTTCATTTTCCAACACGCCAAGAATCGATGTCTTGCTGCGCGGCAAAAATCACACTTCTCATATTTTGTCGACTACTGCTTCTCGTAGATCTTGTCGATATCCATCGTGTCGTTGGTCGTGGGTGGTGCCGATCGCTCCGCGCCAAAAGGCCTTTTCGGCACGTGGCGTCGTGTCTCGAGTTGACCTCGCGTCAGCGCTTCGAATCTCTCTGCTGCACACACCATGTCGCGGTAGCTACTGTAGTTCGCGGCGATCACCTGTCATCGTACTTCCACTTATAGCCCCTCTAGATATACGCTTGGATTTTTTCCCCTTCGGTCAGGTCGGTAATTCGGTTGAAGAGGCTCTCCATCTGCTGTGTGTATTGTATTATGCTGTCATACTGTTTGTGCCGATGAATCTACTGCAACGCCGTGTAGCTGAAATCGATCGGTTCGAGACGTTGAATTAAAGCTGCCCGAAACTGTGTCCATGACCCCTCGCCTCGGATCTCATGACTGTTGTAAATCCACTCAAGCGCCAGGCCTCGCAGCACTGTCGTTGCGAGCCAAATCCGCATTGCATCGTGTGTCGGGGTCGTACAGCCAACGGCCTCGAAGTCAATATTGAGGGCCGCAATGAATCGATGGACGTCGGTATCTTTCGCATTCGGATTGAACATCTTTGGTGGCCTCGGTCGTGCCGCCTCAAGATTCACTGTAGCTGCTGCCGCTGCTACCGTACTGGGTAAAATGTCGGTGTCCCCGCTGCTGATGCTGTTGCCGTCGCTACTGCATTCGCTGCTGCATTCGCTGCTGCCGTGGCGGCTGCCGACTTTTTCGTGAGAAGCTCCTCTATTCGCTGGAGTGCCGCTCGCGTCTGGTCCAGGCCGGTGTGAAACGGGATTGAACTCTCACAAGGCGACTCATTGTAACTGGATTTGTTGCCATGTATGAGTTGCGCAGGTGCTCCCAAGAAGCGTATGCTTGTGCCCACTCTGACTTGCAGGAGCGAATGCCAAGCTGCTCGGAAGGGGAGAGGTTTATAAGAAGAGAGGTGTACGCGAGAAGAGACTCATGGTTGTACTGGTTCTTCTCTTGGATGGTGCCTTCCGTCGGAAACGGTAAGCTTCCATCGTAGTACATCCAGATTTGCGCAGTTGTCGCGAGGAGCTCAAACTCGAAGCTCCGCGTGTAGAAGTCCTTGCCGTCAAAAGGAATTGATGTCTTCAGCTTTGAAGTCAGAACGAACTTGGTTTAAGTTGTCGCGATTGTTTCTGACTGTGTGCGATGTTGACTGTCTTGCGCAAGAGCTAAAGCTTGACGGTTGCCAAAGGTAAATGACCTCTCGGAGTTGACGCGGCGGACTTTTCCAGGTAGAGGGAGTCCAGCAACTCCACGTGCGTAGCTTGAGCCATCGATGCAAATAGCTTGATGGCTCTCAAGAGCGTTGATGCGAGCGACGAGCTGCTCGACAAGAGTGGCGCTGACGGAGGTCACCGCTGATGGTGCAGTAGGTGTTGCTGTGGTGGGCCCGAAAAATCTGCAGTGGCTTTTTCTTCGGGAGCCATAGTGATGCAGAGTTTGTAATGGTTTAACGAGTAATTTATAAAGAGGTTGTTCTAGAAAGAACAAGAGCTTAACAGGCCTTATAATCCACTCTAGTTCTCATACCATGTTGTTGTAACTGAAGGATCGTAGTGGATAGGATAAGTCTGTCAAGTTTGAAAGAAGACAATGAAGTCTCTATAATGACCTTGTTAATCAAGTTGAAAGAGAACAAGATGATTATATGATAGAAGTGCAAGGATATAAATAGCAATCCTAGCTAGCCATGTACTCTGAGGGGTACATTCCTTCATTAACTCAATTACATTGCTACAGTAACCACGACTATTGCTATTCTTGACAGTCACCATGTTGCATCGCGTAACTACCAAGTGCGGTTACTGGGCAGTCAAGGGTCACGACCGTCGAGTGTCTTCGACTGTTGGCCTTCGGGTGACCCTCGACCTTCCGCATGCTCTATAAGAGCTATTGCGATACTGATACATGCGCGTTGCTTCGTTATGGAGTGACGCGCGAGTGGAGAGCCTTCAGGAATGTTACGATAACCTTTCGGTTATTCCAACGGTTTTGACGATTGCATTGCATACATATTGATGGTACGGTACCTCTACCGTACCGAAGTTGAGATGACAAAAGGATGACGTGCTTATGTTATATGACTAATAATTTACTTAACTACTGTACATGAGCACGTCACCTTCACCTGCAGGTTCACACTATTCAATCTTGAATGCATGTTTGGTTTCAGGGCTCCTAAGAGCATTGATAAAACGAGGAAAGGATTCGATATAGATATAGTGCATTATCCACATTTGCCTAAATTACAGGCACCTCTGTGAAGAATACATACCCTTTTGTTCGGTTATGCCAAGCCTGCTAATGAATCATAGAACGAATTAACAAATACTTCAAACTCTTTCTGAATATTTGGGGCATAGGGAGTTAATACATTTGTATAGACCTTTCGTTACGAAGATAGGTGGTAACGCGTACTTTGTGCCGGATTTTGTTGGCCAGTACGACAGATATTTTTTAGTCGTTGATTTACTGGGCGGCAGCGAATGAAGGTACAGCGAATGAACCAAAGGTTACGACGTGGTATAACACAAATTGTGACTACAGTGGTTGCTAGATACACCTGAGAATGGGGATATACACACGATGCTCAACCCATGCACGCGAATTTGCCCTGCATGCGTTTGAAAGTCTGCACGCGTGTACAATTGATGCCCGTTTGAGCCCCTCCCGGTTGCCTTGTGAAGGGGGTCTGTAAGCTACACTAACATTTCGTGGGGTGTTCGTATGTTTCGTTACACTTTCTATGTGCTTCAAAACTGAAATTGGTAACCACCCATTTTGTCTGTTTTGTAACAGTAACAGTTGGTGCGGAGATAACTGCTGCAACGGGAGCTAGACTTCGGGCTAGGCACGTGTGCTCGTGTGATCTCTGCGTTCCATAGTCGTTTACTTGTGTGTTCTCTACTTGCACATTCACGGGGAGATTTTGCAAGAGTTTCACTAGCAAAGATTGGCAACAATGGGTAGCAACAACATTGGCATCACAGATTACATCAGAGCTAGCTAGGCTGCTGGTCGACCTCCAGCGCAGCATGGTCGACCGCGCTCCAGCGCAGCAGCACTCGCACCGCTCCAGCGTTGCAGAGTAGCGGTTCGCCAACGTTGCAAGTCCACGGTGTGCCAACGCTGCAGCAAGTTGGCTGCACAGTGTGGCACCCGCATGACAACGGTGCATCTGCTTCGCAGATGCGTGCAGCTGGTTGGTGTGCCACTCCTCATCACGTGCACAGCGCAGACGCCTGGCAGACTCCTCGCCAGCGACTGCGCCCACAAGCCACGTCGACCTCGGGATACCACCCCCGAGGTCGGCCTCGCAGACTCCACCCCGGCGACACTCACGCACGTCGCCCGGGTATCCCGATCGACCGGGCAACCACGCCCGGTCAATCAGCATAGTCCGTAGCTGGCCACCAATGCTCAGCGTCCCCAGTCCGGCGTCCAGGCGCCCAGGACGCCGTCCGAACCCCCCCAGGTCGGCGTCCAGACACCCAGGACGCCGATCAGACACCCAGGTCGGCGTCCGGGCCCCCAGGACGCCCAGGTCGGCGTCTGGGCCTCTAGAACGCCATGTAGACGCCCAAGGCGGCGTCCCAGGCTCCTAGGACGCCGTGCAGACGCCTAGGTCGACGTCTGGCCTTCCAAGACGCCGTGCAGGCGCCCACGACGCTGACCAGGCGCCCGGGTAGTCGTGCCGACGCCCAGGTCGGCGTCCAGCTTCCCAGGACGCCGTCCAAGTGTCCAAGACGCCAACCAGGTGTCCAGGACGGCGTCCTCCTGCTCGGCGCCCTCCAGCCAGGCGCCCTTCAGCTCGGCGCCCTTGCAGTGGCCCCCGTGCCCACTGCTGCAGGTCGGCTGCAGCCCCCGCACACCCGACCACGAAGTCGGCTCCGCCCAAGAGAGGACGGGGCCAAACAACACTCCCGTTGACAGTTGGCACTCCTTGTCATTAGTGTGTGTTTCTAGTTACCTTACGATTGCAAGAACAATCTACCCTTCATCCTCATCAAATGTTCAACTTAGTCAAAAACATACAGTCCACTCGAACCACCTATCGGGCGCACCCACTTGGCCCCCCATGTCAAACATGAGCATCGATCGAATCACTCACAAATGTTCACAAGGAGTGAACACTCGTTCACATCAAGGAGCCTTCGGCTCCTTCACGGGGGGGGGGGGTAAATTTCACTCACAGATGCATCCACTCCGCCGCGTCTGTATACCCGCCCATCACGGCGCCAACACCGGCGTCCAGCAGCTGCTGACGGCGGGAAGGCTGGGTCATCCACCCAGGCAGCACTCGGCCGCGCGGACGCGGGGTGTCGGGCGTGGGTGTTGCGCCTGGGGTGCGCGCGGCCGGCGGCGTCACGTTCAGATTAATGGGCGGGCTCGCCCGCTCCATGCGCGCAATGATGACCGGGTTGTGGATGTCGAAAAGGTGGCACAGGTCGCGCGGTTGGATGCTGATGGCGCGCACATAGCCAATGAGCATCTCGCACGCCGCCCGAGCCGTGCGTCGCGCTTCACGGCCCACGGGATCGGCATCCTCATATACGGCCTGCATGGTGGTGGGCGCCTCCCACATTTCCACCTCCATGCCCGCACCCGGCTCATTCGTCATCAGATCCGCCGCGTGCTCGGCGCACGTCGGCTCACCGTCGTCGATGGCGACGTACTCAGCCGCGGACCTCGCGCCATGCCCGAGACCAAGCCCAGAGATGAGAGTCCCGACGTCGCCTATCTCATCATCAAGCTCGATGTCGGGATAGGCGGACGGGGTGGGCTTGTCGCCATGCACGTGCGGCAGCTCCATGGCCCACGAACGCGGGAGGCACCCCGTGCGCCACCAGCACCACTGGATGGTGCGCGCACCGACACCGGTCCACGCGTCCGAGAGCCACGCCAGCACGTCGCGAAGGTTCGGGCGAAACCGCGCGGCGGCGCTTGTGGCCCCGTCCGCGTTCCACAGAGCCGTGAAGGCCCGCAACCAGTGCTGGCGGTAGCGCGCCTTGGCAGTTGCAATAGTTCCCTGGTCAAGGGGCTGGGTGAAGGTCGTCGTGTTAGGCGGCACGAAGACCAGGCGCACGTTGCTCATGCAGGTCGTGCGCATGCCGCACACGATTTCGCTCCACGCAAACTCGCTCCTTAGCATGTGCGAGCTGGCGCTGTCGAGCAGAATGACAATGTGGCGGCCCTCCGCATACATGGCCGCGTTGAGCTGTGAAATGAAGTGTGTGAACAGCTATAGGAGGGAAGGGGAGGGAGCGGGATGGCCGCATGTGTGGAAATGCACATGCGCGTATAGTTAATTCACAGGGCGCGCGAATAATTTTCAATGCGTCATGTTAAACAACAAGTGATTGACCACCGACACATACAAAAATTGCCACACAAACTCAACGATGACGTCATCCATCCTTTGGCGTTGTTACGCCAGTAGCAGAGCGTTTCAGGGTCATAGTCCGGGCGAAAATCATGCGGGCGCCTCGCCTTAGAGATGACCAACGGGCGGAACGCGTGGCTCCCGTCGGCATTGATGAGAAACGCAGCGGTAAGGCGTTCCTTCAACACCTTTCGCCCTGGAATACGGCCGTTGCTGTAAGTACGCCGCGGGAGCACGGATAGCCACAGCGCGGTTTCGTCGAGGTTGTACGTGTCGCGCGGACGGGCTGAGAGATGCATGAGAAGTCGGGGGAGCTTCTCCTGGCAGTCGCGCACTGCGGCATGGTCCGCGCTGCCCGCCTCGCCGACCGATGCACGGCACCTCACCCCCTGGCGCCGCAACGCACGCCGCACCCATCCGATGGAGCATCGAAACGTGGGCAGAATGCCCATGTTACGAGCCATGGTCGCGACGTGGTCGCGGATGGTTTGCAGCGTCAACGGGACGCCGGCGGGCCCCGCATTAGAGATCCACCTTGCCATGGCCTGCTCCAGCTCAGGCCATGTGCCTCCCCGCCGGCAGACTGGGTTGTCGCCCGTCTTGACCACAGCCCAGCGGTCGGCGCTTTTCAGGATGCGGCCGATGGTAGAGCGGTCCGGGCGAAGGCGATACTGGGAGTAGCACCACCTCGCCAGGCCAACGTGACGCAGGCGTGGGTTCTCCACATGGTGAAGGCATATCTAGCGCTTAATGTGCACAGGGAGCTGCTCACGGCGGTGGAACCGAGGCATGGTGAATGGCGGGGCTGCGGGTTAACGATGCAGAACTGGATTCAATGCCGTTGTTTTAAAGTTGGGCGACTTGCCCATTGATGCTCGCTAGGGGCCTGTTCGGCGTGGCTGGTGGTGAGCTCGGTGCCAGGTTCGTTTCGTGCATTTAGTTTGAGGGTTAGGGTAATGTGTTTTGTAACCACACATTAGGATGCCTGACGTGGGGTGGGCGAACAATGCTTGTTTGATAATGCTCTTGTACCCTACAAGTGCAGGATACACGTGGCAGGGTGAACCTGCCAGACTGACTGTTACATGCACCCTCAACCTCGCTTGCTTGGCAGGGCAGTCGGGCGAATGCATTCACGAAGCCTACGGGGTTTCGTTCAAACATTTCGGGTGTGTGACTTCTAGCCTAGAAACAGAGAAAACCAGGGTCGGCCTAGCTTGTTACGGACTGCACGTGCAGAATCGGTCGAAGCGCGTGCACTGTAGCCTGCCATCCAGATGTCTATACCGTGGGTGCATTTGCCCGGGGTGAGAACATCGGGTGCAGCGTTTCCATCCGGTGCATGGCAAATTCGCGTGCATTGGTTGGGCATCATGTGTATTTGGGGCCAGCCAGTTGCACCCAGCAGTGATAATGAGCCAATCTTAATAAATACTGACCGACGTCAATTGCCAATGAAATTTTGGTGAACCAATGGTAACGAAGAGACCACTTCAACTGTCAACGTGTAACATTTTAGAATTTTGTAAGCACTTTTTTGCTAGCTGCTACGTTGACGAATGTTATGAGATGTAAAAGAGAGTGCGCAGGTAAACGAATAACGAGGCTGTGACTGAATCAACTGCGAATACAATGAGTGCACAGACTAATGTAGGGCTGGTCTAGCTAGGAGGAAACCTTGGACGAGCGAAGTTGGAAGCAGGTTTGGCGATGGAAATGCCAAAGGCGACGCGAGGAGCCTCGGCAGCGTTGAAATCGGCCGAACGTGCGAACTCCAAAAATCGGGTTGTACGCGAAGCAGTCGACCCCGATAAGGAATTCGGGAAAATTCCTTACACCCCCCCCCCCTTAAGAAAGGCAGCCAATATCTGAAACACGGCGTCACGCCAGGTAATCACCAACAAGTGGCGAGGCGTCGAGCGAGGCGGATGGCACCCACGTGTCGTCCTCACTGATGCGGTCAGTCCAGCGAATTAAGAAATCCACGTGTCGGCCAGCTGCGTCAAGGCGGACCCGATGAGCGAGGATTTTGGAAGGGTCAAGGGTCGGCTCCGGGATAGGTCGGGCTGTCGGGGCAGCTTGCTGACGTGCGATGTCGGTCGTTGCTGGCACGAACTTCCGAAGAAGGCTGATGTGGAAGGCGTCATGGATGCGCCAATCGTCGGGTAGCAACAGCTTCGCGGTGACAGGTGTCACCATCTTGAGAATCTTGTGAGAGAAGTTGAACGAGAATGGGGATGACTAAAAGAAAGTTGGGTACAAAATGCAAACCCTAGAAAGCTGTACCCCATATGTGCTACCCCACTATAGCCTAAAATAGCTATGTCATATATATCTAACACACCCCCATAGGCAAAGTAGGGGAGAACAAGGGGTCACAAGACCAGTCAAGCAAAGCAAAGCAAAGCAAGCTCAGGGTGGATCACAAAGTCACCACACAGTCCGAGCACAAGGTCAAGGCCACAAGGCCAGTTCACATGCAGGAGTGCACATATATATATAACACTAAACAAGCAAGAGCAGGTATATATATATGCAAGATTACAAGTAAGATCAAGAGGTGAGCAAGTGAGGTAAGACAGGTACAAGTCCCAGCTGAGTGCAGAAGCGCTGATGATCACAAGGCGGAAGTGCCTTGGTGAAAACATCAGCAGTGTTGGCCTCAGAGGCCACGTACGCAAGTCGCAACTGACCACGCTGCTGCAGCTCACGAGCAAGAAAGTAGCGAAGAGCAATGTGCTTCGTTCTGTGCTCCAGGCGCTGGTCTCGACACAAGGCCAGCATGGCCTTGTTGTCTACGTACAGCATTGGAGGAGAACGAGGCGGCTCTCCAAGGTCAGTCAGCAGGTAGGTGAGCCAGCGAAGCTCCTGAGCAGCCATGGCCCCGGCGTAGATCTCAGCCTCACAGCTGGAGCCGAGAACAGAAGACGAGCGAGTAGCCCGCCACGAAACAGAGCCGGAACCAAGACTGAAGGTGTAACCCTGTGACGACCGCTGAGTAGCTTGGTCGTCAGCCCAAGAAGCGTCCGCGTGCCCAGTGAGGACCACTGGACTCCGCCCTCCAAGCACTAGCCCCATGCCCAACGTACTGCACAAGTAGCGCAACACCCTCTTCGCAGCAGCCATTTGCTCTGGTCGGTGTCTCCCAGGAGCAACATAGCGTGAAAGAATGCTAAGAGGGTATGCAAGGTCAGGTTGTGTGTAGGTCATCAGGTACATGAGGCAGCCAACAAGCTCTGGGTACGGGCCACTCGACTCTACGGACTCATCCAAAGGCAGAGCTGAGAGCGAGTGGCGAGTAGACAGAGGAGTGGCCTGAGGCGAGGAGTACGTGAAGCCGAAGCGCTGAAGGACCTGCTGCACCATGTGTGACTGAGTCAAGGTAATGGTGCGTCGTGCTCTGTCCCGAGTGATCTGCAAGCCAAGGTAGCTGCGCAGTTCACCCAGGTCTGTGCACGTGTGTCTCTTCTGCAGCTCAGACTTCACGTAGGCGAGTCCAGCAGTGTCAGCTGTGGCAAAGACCAAGTCGTCAACGTACACGAGGATGTAGAACGGCGGCAGAGAAGTGTCGGTGCGCAGAAACAACGACGGGTCAGCAGTAGAGGGAGCAAACCCAAGAGCCGCAAGCGTAGTCCTCAGTGTGTCGTGCCACTCACGCGGTGCCTGGCGGAGACCGTAGACTGGCCGTCGGAGGCTCCACTGGGTGCCAGGAGGGAAAGTCCCAGTGAAGCCAGGTGGACGGCGCAGCCAGATCTCCTCGTGTAGGCTACCCTGCAAGAAAGCAGTGCTGAAGTCAAGAGAGTGGAGCTTGTAGTCGCGCTGAGCGGCTATGTGCAGCAGCACCCGAAGAGTGGTCATCTTCGGGGTGGGAGAGAAGGTCTGAAACTAGTCAACTCCCTGCCGCTAACTGAAGCCACGAGCCACGTACCGCGCCTTGAAGACAGGTGGAGAGCCCGGCGGCCGCTTCACCCTGAAGATCCACATGCCACTGACGATGTTCGCCCCAGGAGGGGGAACCGCGTCAACGTAGGTGCCTGTGGACTTCCAAAAAGCCATCTCTGCATCCATAGCTGCCTGCCACTGAGAGGAGTAGGGACCCTCTATGGCCTCTGCTAAGAGCGCGGAGTCGGGATGTCAAGTGCATCCAAGTCTCCCTTAGGGGCAAGTAGTACGGACGCGAGATGAGGAGAAGCAGCAGCCAGACACTGGAACTCCTCCTGCCTGTCCTCAAGGACGTCCGTGCTAAGAGCACACTCACCCCCGACGGACGGAGGACATATAGACACAGACTCAGCAACAAGACTGGGAGCGTAGTCTAGACGACAGCGAGCAGCAAAGTCGACGAGCTCAGCAACAAGAGCAGACACAGCAGTGGACTCAAAAGAGGGGTCAGTGACAACAGTAGCAAGGAGACGCGTGACAGTAGGACTGGCACCACGAAGAGAGTCTAAATCTGGGTCGGCAAGTGCAGGAAGAGAGGTCTCAGGAGGAGAAGGCAAAGGGGCACGCAGAGGAGCACTGGACGGACGCAGAGACATCCGGTGGGTGCCAGGGACAGGAGGAGGACGCTGACGCGAACCGCGACCACTAGCGCGAGCAGCACGAACAGGCGACGCGGGACGAGACGCAGACTCACGATGCTCAGCAGGACCTCCAGTAGGACCAGTGTAAGGAGGGGGAGCAGGAAGTGGGGAGGCGGGCTCTAACTGTGACAGTGACTGGACAGCCGGTGGACACTCTACAAGAGGAGAAAGACCAAGAACCTGCTGCAGGAGCGGAACGAAGTACGGCCGAGGCCGCGCGGCAACTCCAGACACAGCAGGGACAGCACCAGCACCCTCAGGGGCAGCACCAGCGCCAACAGCACCTCCAGCTGCAGGACCTCCAGCAGCACCCACAGCAGGACCACCGCCAGGAAGGACAGCAGCAGTCTCAGCACCAACACCGTCGGTACCTCCAGCGCCAGGCGGACCCGAAGGCCCAGGAGCCCCGGGACCGGCGGCACAAGTACCCTCAGCGGCCGAAGAAGCTCCAGCTCCAGCAGTACGCCTCGAGCGGCGAGCAAACCACTCGCGCAGCTCCTGTGGAGAGAGTGGCTCCCGCCGAGACGAAGCACCCGGAGAGCCTCCAGGCCCCGCACCGCCAGACGCCAAAAGGGGAGGTCCAGTGGCCGCAGGCTCCGCAACTTCAGGCTCAGTAGCACCCCCTGGCTCAGCAGCTCCTGACGTAGCACCCCCAGGCTCAGCACCCCCAGTCGCAGCACCCCCAGGCTCCGCACCCCCGGACTCAGCACTCCCAGGCTCAGCACCCCCAATCGCAGCACCCCCAGGCTCAGCACCCCCAGGCTCAGCACCCCCAGTCACAGTACCCCCAGGCTCAGCACCCCCAGGCTCAGCGCCCACGCGCGCAGCACCTCCAGAGTCAGCACCCCCAGGCTCAGCACCCGCAGCAGTACCAGAGTCAC